ATTATAAAGAAACTAATGGATCATACACTGTACATAAGTAAGAAATTGACCATTCAAAAATTGCAAGAATAATTTGAAATACACATACATTTGTATGTAAAATGCACTGGACAGTTCACAGAGTTACATGTCACTTAAAGCTAAATGTAATTACCTGGTGAAGGTGAAGTAGTTGGACGTAATGGCAAAACACTTGAACTTAGGTACAATGATGTCTCAGCAGATGTGGAATATACTGTGGTTGGACTAACCATGCTTTGAGTCCTAGAAACACGAACTGTAGGTACCACGGTGGATCTGGTCATCATACTAGAAGAACTATGACCAGGCAATTCTTCAATAGAAAACACAAAGTTAATGATTTTGCCAATTCACATGAATGTAACTGACCATGATTGATAATATTACATATGATGCATTTAACCATGGAAAATTGGCGTAAGTAGTTTAGCGTTGTTTCTTAAGGGTACTTACATGTAGGGTTAGAGTACCCACCCCTAACGGGTCACCACCTCATCCTTGTGGGATGGTTTGCTTGTCTCAATGACCCCTAGAGCTGTCGGCTGGAGTCCTGTAATCTTGGTAGGGTCACCCATACCAAGTGGGTTGTAGGGTGGAGACCAGATGAAATGGAACCCCCTGGTCCTCTAGGTTGTGTAGGGCTGAAGGATGATAACCCACTCCCATGAAATCAAGATTATTACAGAAACAGAAGCCATTCAAATCTCTATCGACATTTGCAAAGCAATGAGGGCCCATAGTAGCAGGATGACGCATTTCAAAACCAAAAAATTGGGTCAAACCCGAAAGGAAACTTAAAGGTCAACAGCTTCGATCTTGGATCCAAAACTTAAAACCCAAAACAACACAGAGGAGGATGACTGAAGAAGAAAGGCGTGCAGTTAGGTGGCAGTCATAGGCAACTGTCAGGGCTCTTAGCAGCAAATCAAAGTGGGTGGAAAGAGAATGTCAAAGCCTTGTGTGCCTTATTGCATGGAGAGATATATACACTGTAGGCATAGTTAAGAGTACAACGTAGGCACAGATGATGTCGATAATGGGGCAAAAAATCTGACTATAACATTACAGTAGGAGGGGAAACAACATACACGTCACGTTAAATAGCAAAGCAAGCTGGGAGTCCAACAGTGGCAGGAGAAAAGAAGGTTTCCCAAGGTGGCAGGAACCCAGCTCTAAGCACCTTCCCCATCCCTCCTTTCTCTTTTCTCCCTGATTTACACTAACCTGATGGACTTATACCTGATCCAATAATTGAAGTGTGAGCCAAAATGCTGGTTGTAGACAGCAGTGGTTTGACAAGATTGCGGGATGGTGATAGGGAATTAGTAGTCTTGGAAGAGAGATGTAAGGTAGACAAAACATCTTCCTTTTGACTAGGTATAGTTCTCAAAGTTGATTGAGGAGAAGACTGAGCTTCACTTGATGCCTGCACATGTGGAGTGTTACGACTCTGATTCATATCAACAGTGCTAGTTTGTGACGAGCTTGTCAACACATTTCCTAATGAAATGCTTGTGTGTGCAAGGATCTTTGTTGAAGCTCGTGACTGGCCCATTTTGGTTGTCTCTATTATACTGATGGAACCACTTGAAGCCTGCACTGTATTGAAATTTGGTTTTATAGGCCTTTTAGTTGTACTGTTGATCAATCTGGGTAGATTTGACGACACTGGTAATGACAAGGAGCTTGAAGGAACAGGTCTTTCATCTAGGGTGTGTTCATTAAGACCAGGTTCTTCTTGGTTGGCATAGGCTAAAAATGGAAGAAATTATGCATTACAATTAGCTATAAAAATGGCATACCATAAAATTCAGTTACACGTACAAATGTAATTAAGCCCCAGCCCTAGTTAACTTTGTAACTACTTTTAAGGAGATATACGTGACAAGGAACGATTTATAACACAACAAGTGATTTAAGTGCTGAAAGACGCTGTATGTCAGAAAGACACTGATGAACAAAAATTGGTCTGCAGTACACTTGCAAATCTAGTCATTCTTAGCCTGTCCATTCTGAATAGGCCACGTTCGATATATCAATATTCTAACATGGCTCCGAGGCTTTCAGGATAAACTTCTATAATCCTTCTTTGTATCCAAGTCTCTTTTGTAAATTGAGAGACAAAGGAAACTTAAAAAATTATTTACTATTTTGACCCAAAAGCCTCAGAACCATGTTAGAATATTGATATATCAAATGTGGTCAATGATACATGTAAATCTAGCATATGTATACTTGTAACAAATACACTATAGGTAATTTCTGAGTTACTTTGTGCCTCTGTTTCACAACGAGTCTTTGTGCAAAACCTTTCTTATGAAAATAAGTTTAATTTGCATGAAAATGAACATGGACATGTAGGTGGAACTCAGAAATGGCCTATTTAAAGACCAAAATGGGTCACTCTTTTTTTTCTGTTGTACCTAGGTACATACTACAAGATAGCCTATTAGTTTACATACTGTATGTACAAGAACGCCTATTACAGGTACCTGTAGAAAGATAAGTCTGTGGAAATCAAGTAAATTATGGAGAGTGCTACAATGTACAGATAATACTTCAACCAATGTTCTGGCAAATGTACTTGTGGATGTATACTGTCTATCGAATGCAGTCCTTTGAACAGGGTACACTTCTGTGCTTCTTGTCCCTTGTTCAAGGAACCTATATCAGAATATTGAGCTGGGGGAGGAGGGACTCTCTCACTTGCACGAGTGAGAATGGATTGAAAAAGAAATCATGTGTGTCTTGGCTCATTCATTTTCCCCCCATGGTTAATATTTTGCTTGCGAATTCTCAATGAACTCAAGACAATTTAGAAGGCCTGTACACAGACTATCACCCAATCTGAGATCGCATTACACGAGCCAAGTTGGACATGTGTTGAGGAAAACTATGGTAGACAATCACTTTGCTTGTACTATAACTTAAATCATTCCCGACATATGCAATATATAACCACAATACCTGAAATTAGGGCTGCAAAATATTTGGAAATTTTGGTTCAACATCAAATCGAATGATAATTGTCTAAAAAATCTGTTTGAAAATTGTACATGTAGACTACCACCAGAAGTAGTAATCTTTAACGAGAAATCAAGTCGTAAATGTTAGGTACTCGCCGTCTCACAAGTTTGGTTGGTTCGCAAATTTTGGAAAAACCCTTATCTTCATTCAAAGGCCATTCCAACTATTTTTATTTTTACCAGTATGCACCCTCCATAACTATCCTAATCTGTGTTTATTATATAAACACCAGTGAAATACTAGGATTTTTCCTTTTACTAAAAAATCACATCTTCATCACACGCAGTGAAGATACTATTTTTATCGTTCACACTGTGAAGATATCATTCCTTTTTGACAACATTTCCTTTTGACCCTTTAACTACACTTAAACTTGTTGATCTATGATCGAAACATCTTTAGATCTTCTTCGGTCGTCTTCGGCAATCATCGGCAATCTTCAGTAACCTTTGGAAAATGTTTGGAAATGTTTGGAAAATGGGCAGAAGTGTTTGTCTGACCTTCAGAACAATTTTGGAAAATCTTCGGAAATCTTCGGAAAGTGGTCGGAAGTCTTCAGAAAATCGTCAAAAACGTCGCCATTAGTATGTTTATAAAATAAACAGAATATTACATGCCTGCTTGTGGATACGAATTTTATCTTCTCATGTTCAACTCAACATCCCACTTGTTCGCTGCACTCACTCTCAAGATATCGAGTTGAACACTCGAAGATAACATTAAATTTATTTTGTATCCACGCGCGGGCATGTAATGTCCTCCATTTATTTTTCTTTTTATTGATTTTTTTATCTCTTTTTTTTCCGCTGAAAATCGCGTTTTTAAATTATTCTGAATGCAAACACATTCATGTGTAAATAATCTTCTAGATTCCTAATGCTATTACATTGTTTAACTTATAAAACATAGAGTGTTCGTAAAATTATTGATGGACTATGTACAGAATTAGTTATTGTTGCCCAAATTTTGGTACAAAAATGAGAATTCTTTCACTCGTTCATCAACAAACACGACTAAGTATTTTATCATAACGATGAATTGAATTAATCAGGCTGAAGTGGTGTAAAATGATAAAAAGACTTAATTGTAAGGTAGAAAAACGGATTTTTTTCCAGATGTGTCATGCGATCTTTATAAAACAGAAATCCACACAATGTCTGCAGGGATATAATTCAAAAGAGGGAAAATTGGCTTTCAGAATTGCTTCAAATTATATTTACCCTGGTTTATAATTACAGCTGTATCACCAACAACGCGCCGTGCAAACATTTCACAAGTGAGTGCGACCGATCGAACTTAACTAAGATCAAAATTATTTACCCTCTGTTTTTAAAGCCAAACAGATAATCTTCGCTCATCTGTGAAATCTGGTGTTATTTCTTAAGATATAAAAGCAATCGCCCTTCTTTCTGATCACTCGTCGACAGCTCAAGTGCTTTTGCAACCGAAGGTCGAATAATATCGACAACATGACACTCTGGGCGAATGAACCGCTCTTGCAAAGTTCACTGGTACACAAAGAGCCTCCAGGACCTTCCTTGGTAGAAACAGAGACCTTTCAACAAAAGAAGGCCTAAAATCGAGAGGAGTTAACCATACCGAAACAAAAATATACTAAAGCTTACCTAAACTTGACATTTTCAAGAGAGCGTACAAGACAACCACGACGCATTCCATGATGGAACTTGTTGCCTTCCCAATGTATTTCTTTGAACGAGCTTACAACCAAAAGAACCAAAGGGAAAGTAAGATATCACTATATGTCCTGTTAGCCGGTGTCGATTCCATCCATTTCTACAGATCCTGAAGGTTTTCACCGCCTTCCATGGCAGACAGTTTCGGCATCATCGCGGAACGGCGACTGACTGAGATTTGCTCACCTTTCAGGAAGTCGGTACCATTCCCCCTCGGTAGATTGCCCGTCAACCGTACTTCCGGTGAATAGAGATTTCTTAATAATTATTTTTGCTGGTTTATTTAAACATTTCTTTACTTTCTTTTTTAACGTTGACACCACGTTCAAGCCACAAGGAAGATAAGAGCTTTAAAAAGGACACCGCTCATAACCGTACTTAGTTTTTTTGCGATTCAAGGCGCGCACATACAGTACAGTTAGATCTAATGTTAGAAGCCTCAGCACCAAAGGAAATTCGATTTTGTTATTCCGCCTGTTGCTAACAAGGTCCAAAGACCAATAAGCGTCTTTCCAAGAAAGAAANGTTTTCATTATCATTCAGTGACAAGGGAAGTATCACTGCTCCATTTGTCGTTCCTGTAATTTTAATACCGGGCGCAGCTTTAGAGCTTAATCTGTTACAGTTTTACCCGGAGTTTCCATGATTGTGCAACTGAGTGGTTCTGTAGTCGTTTTTATAAATCAGGGAGGCTAATTATGAGGTATTATATATTTTTGTTGGATTCCTTTTGTAAAGAAAATGAAACATGGTCGATTATCGTTTAATGTAAATGATCTGTAAAGATTGCTGCTATTCACATTTCAACCACATATGTGAGCCGGCTGCCTCCAGCAAAATATCTTTGGTAATAAGTAGGAGCTAGGGCATTTGATGAGCAAGCCTCAGAGTGGCCAGAGCCCGGGGGGGTGGGGGTACTCCATATAATAGCCTATATGGGGAGGCTGCAGTCGAAATGAGTACCTTTTTCAGGTTAAGGTACATGTATTTAAAAGAGTGGGGATTTTGTACGTTGAGGTATGTGAAAGGGTAGGGAAATCTGCCATTCAGTTACTTTAAAGGGCTGTATCATTTCATTAACTAGGCACTACATGAAAATGACAAGAAGACTTCCTTTTTCGGCGATTTTCCATCATATGGGCCAGTTGTGAAAGTATGCGAAAGGGATGCCTTTTCTTTTCAATTAAAGGTATACGAAAGAGATATCTTTTCTGTCAAAATGGTATACAAAAGGGTAAGGGGTTGGGCCTCGGAGGAGGGAGGAGGCTTCCCGCATAGAACTGTGCAAAGTACCCCCTCCCCTAGGAATCGTGAACATCTGGGCTCTAGAGAAAAACGGCGTCATATAAACCCACTTTTAAGAGCAACCTGACAATCAGAAACGACCAGGTTACTAGTTTAGGACCAAGGCGGTGGCGTTGGAAAAGATCGGCCTGGTTGTTTAATTTTGCCTGGATGTTGTTTGCTAGTTCGTCAACCAGTGGACCAGTGGCCGAGATAGTCATCAGACATTCCCTAAATCAACGCTGTTCTCTTTGATAAACATAAGTATGTAATTAATTTGCAATTACAAATTGGAGGACGACTTTTAGCTACTTTTTCTCTTCACACTCCGTATTTTCATTCAATTCCTGTAGAGGTCATAAGCAGTCGCGTGTGCGTGCTCTGGTGCTTTTATTTTTATTTATTTTTTTTTTTTTTCTTTTCTTTTCTTTTTTTTTAATGGCGAACTGCAGAGTCATGGGTTCAAGACCAGCCAGACACGTGAACAGCACGAAGATCCGGCATGTTGATCATCATTTCATGATCCTTTGATCGGCTTTTGTCGGTACTTCATACACCCTGTCAATAATGTGAAGCCGCGCAGTCTTGCCTGATGTCAACATTTATTACATTTTGTTTAAGAACTGCTAAGCAACCTAGTGGTATTCTTAAAATGCGCGCAAAATGCGATCGTACGCGAGTACTGACAAGGCGCATATTTCGCAAGTGCAGGTAAATATGGCCTGACAAAAAGCGTCACAAAAAGGTTATGACGCGGTTTCACTGTTAGGCATGAGCAAACAACTCTCAGTGCCAAATGTCTGATGTTCAGTGACATCTCAGACAAACACAAAAGAGAACCTGAAAAAATTTTAAAAGGCTCTCGACCATGCTACCCACTTTAAAATAACTCAAGATCGCTTAATCACACAAACACTCAGGCACCCTACTTTCTATTTATTAAACTTAAATTCCAGCGCTATTTTCCGTGGCAGCCACGGTTTATGTTTGTTTAGACATGGGACTTTTATTATGCGCGCCTGTTTCATTACAATATGCAAATCAGCAGTTCGGGCATCAAAGCACACTATTTGATCAATAGAGTATTTATTTTTGAAATCAGGGACTTACTGATAATTGATTCGAGCCTACGTTGCTACTAGCATATTGTAACAACAAATCTGAATAACCAGTCAATAGTGACACCGAGGTTTTTGACTGCATTCTTCGTCTATTAAAGCTTAGCTTCTTCAAGGCCACAAAATAGTTCGGGCGCAACAACGGAACACTGAGTCAGTTTAAAAAACAAGTGACAGCAACAAGTTGTTTGAATTGAATTGAAAGGTAAGTGAGTTCTGCTCGATGTCCATTCATTAAATAAGAGTGATAGCCTTGAAAGTTAGTTGGTTTTAAACATTCAATTGTCGACTGGTATAGTACCAAACAAATGTTTAGTCTTTTTTACCGATTTTCCATAGCCTATACACTGAGCTTATTGTCCGACCGACTATGCAAAGGATAGTGACTCGATTTTGCTGTAGACCGTGGAAAGTCAGCTCTGGTAAAGGGAGTCGCGAATGTCTTCCCAGGATTAGTCGCTAACTGTAGTTCATCATTAATCTCTAAAACGTTCTCTAGATTCTGCCTTGGAATAGTTCCGGCACCCCACTACCGTCTCGGCATTACATAATGCTACTGAGAAAATTAATATGGAACATGGAAACAAAATATGTCAAACATTAGCCTGAATCATTGCATAATCGAAGAATGGACTTTGAACCTCCCTCTGATTGACGAAATTACAGTTATAAGATTATTGGTAGCTTCAATAGAACCCTGTTTTACGATCACCCTTCAAGCTCCTTCAATTTGACTATCTTGATAAATTTGGCAAGCAACGAAAGCTCCTCCAAATCCTTTATTTGAAGATACTTGCGCTTTCCTTTTTTTTTTTTTTTAATTTTTTATTTTCAATTTAGCCCATCGATAAATAACCACTCGAGATTCGTGATGAAGCAAGTGGCAAAAAACAAATATTAAAAAAACATGTATCAATTTGTGTTCCGAATGTATTGCGTGAAAAAGTCGTTGAACAGGAAAATTAAATCAAACGTCGAAGCATTATTCAGAACTTGAACAAGAAGATCGTATTGAATTTCCTGCCTCAGAACTTTTATCATAACTCGAAACTACATCGTTAATAAAACTAAGTTTTATTGGACAACGCTTTTCGTATATGAACCGATTTTAATTGCTTCCAGTCCACGTCATTCTAAGAGCTGTACAGCGTATTGAAAGTTGATCAGAGCACTTTTCAATGATTGCAAGGTCTTTTTTTAACTATTAGACTATGCTCCTGTTGATTAAAAGGGATATCTATAACTTCATGACATTTAAATATCTTGAATTAAAATTCTTTAAATGCAAAAATCATTTAGCTTTTTGTTCGCTTTGATTTACATTTTGATGACCCTTAAAAGACTTTCAGTTCTGTATGTACTGAAGTTTGAACTTGACGTTTTCAAAGTAAAATGTAAACATTTTCGAACCCGGTGTCACTCAGATTGTTACTAATGGTCACTAGTTTGTCTGTCTTACGACGTCTGTGACGTCGGAGATGGATCTACTGAGCTCAATTGCTTTTCGATGCTTTGAAGTTCACATAGCCTCAAACTATTTGTTGTTTTTTTTTCTATATTCTTCCGTTTTTTAGATTTTGGTCAGTTTGTCTTGTTACCTGAACAACAGCACACATAGAAAGCTGCAAATTAAAATATGCCTAATTAGTGACGATGGGTAATACAAAGTTTCCAAGCGCTAAAAAAATCATATATTTGTGTCGGTTTGATGCCGAATTTCTAAGTTAGCTTTTAGAGGTGCAACACTCGCCGAAGCCGATAGATCAAGGCAATTCCAGAACGAAACGTTCAATCAAAGTGTTGTTGAGTCACAATCAAAACTTAGAGATGACAAGCAATATAGACGGAAAACGTCTGAGTAAAGTCAATGGTTCATCATCCGAGCGCTTTCCGCAGCAACCTAACTGAAATGGATTATTAAGCTGGACAGCAATTACAATATTACTAGACTTACGGCGAGGCTTACCCCCTAGAACTACATGTACGTCTAGGGAAAGAGTTAAACAAGTTATTTGAAAAACTCTTCATCGTGAACTTCAGTGAACAGTCTCACAAGTTAAGCCAGTATGCTTCTCTTCTAAATAAGAAATGAAATCCTTTTCAGAACTTATCGCACCCTCACCCAGATGATTACATGCGCACATGACCAACTTTATTATTGTTGTTATTACTATCTTATTTGTTATTATTTTTTTCACAGATCTTTTCACGTTAGGCAGTATGCAGTTTTCAAACCGTGAGAGTAGGTGATATGATTGTAGTTGGCTTGAAGATACCGTTGCTGGCAATATCAGCTCTCACAACTCAAAACAACAAGAGGAATGGGGCTTTTCAAAATGAAGAGGGGAATGGTCTTTGTAATGCTGACTCTCTTTGGCTCGTGCGTTTACGTGGGAACATTCTTCTACCTCAGTCTCATCGAGGACTCCGAAGGTATTCTTTATTTCCTATTTTTTTCTTTCTATCTGTCTTGCTTTCCGCTCGGGTGTGAGAGCTGAAGAAAACATTTGCCTTAATGATTCGATTAAGCCACCTCCTTTCAATAAGAGCTCCCCATTGGGTACATATGGTCTCTTTAAAGAGCGTTCCAAAAAGACCCCCCTCTTAAACCATTGCGAGGACATACAATGATTCCAACAAAACATTGACTGATGGTATAGACAAGACTGATAAGACAGGCGTTCGTGTCGGCGTTGACTTGGAGCTTACAAGAGAGTAGCTCAAGGTATGCCTATATAAGAACCCCTATAGTGTATCACATTGGAATGTCATTCAAATTTATGACCAATAAAAGAAGTAAGCGTCCTGCTATTGTACTAAGTTTATAGGAAATCCTAAAGAAAACACTTGATATCAATCATCTTAACAATAACAATACCTGTGCGTAAAATTATCAAATTAGCACTGTTGAATGTTGATCGAAGACTGGAGATACGACTATCATGTTGAATAAAAAAAGATTAATTTTATATAAAGTTGCGTGCTCATGTAAAATGAATTGCATTGCATGATTTATTTTGTATATTTCTGAAGCACAGCAATGTTCTCGTTTATTTTCAGAGATGGCACGGTACGAAGGCAGAGTGAAACAGATTTTTCTTACTTCTGTACAAGCGTCAACATTGGAAGATGGCCAGCACAAGAGGGCTGGTATCGCATTTGCTGCAGATATGGAAGGCGTAAGAGGACTGATTGCAAAAGAAAAAGACCACGATACAGTCGCTAAAATGATATCACGTCATCGTGGTATGCTCGACGGAGGTGTTCCACCTCAACAAGTTCATAACAAGAAAAGTATGCTCGAAGCCGTAGTGAGAAAATCAGGGGCGAGCGATGTTAGCACTGAGCTGGGCACCAAAACGATTTTAGAGGCCATCAAACCAGCACGTATTATACGGTACAACTTGAAAGAAGTAGAAAAATTGGTTGACAATACAAGCAACGATGAGTATTTTCCAGTAGATAGAATTTGTCCTTATTCAGGATTAAGAAAAGCGCCTTACATTAGACTTAAAAACAGCCTTCCAAAAAACAAATACTGCGATCGTCGCCAGCCCTCTGTGGAAGAATGTCAAAAAGCGACGAGAGATTATGAGGTGGAAAGTCCAGCTTTGAGATGTGAGGAGCCAACGGAAAAAGATCTGTGTACAATAACTGACAAATACCGCTCAAATATAAATGCCCAAGTAAAGGTTCGCTGTGACATTGGTAGATGTGGAAATCCCGTTTATGTGGTAAATTTAGACCCCGAAACTGGACAACTTGAAGAGCAAGGGGAGTGGCAAAAATTTACTTCCAAAACAGAAATCGAAGGCAAACTTCCTTCAGTAATCATTCGGAATTCTCAAAACGGGTTCAATTTCTGTCTTGTCCAGTGTGTCCGGAATAATACCTCTCAGCTTATCAGAACTGTGTTAAGTTTCCCCCCAGTTCTTGGAGTTACCAATTCTCATAGTCCAAAGCCAGTAAACGTAGACATAAATGTTGTGGTTCTGAACTCCGTTTCTCGTGCTCATTTTTATCGGTCACTGCCTGAGACTGTTGCCACCATTCGAAACGTTGTTTACGACAATTCAATTAAGGCATCTGCCTTAGATTTTGAATTTCTCCAGAGTTTCGGGCCGGCGATGGCGCTAGATCTACGAATCCAAAATTCAGGGATTTCAACTTTGTTCGCCGAATTAAAAAAGCTGGGATACCATAATATTCTTCAAACGGATCAATGCTGGTACGATAAGGACGCAATTACTACTGAACTCCAATCAAAGATGAAAACAGAAGGAGCGAGAGAAAAATTTAGAAAACAATGGAAGTATGTTCAAAATATGACAATGAAACATATTGGTGACACTGGCATGACATACTTGGCCTGCGAAGCGAAAACAAAGTACAGTGTTCCTAACCAACTGGATGGCAATCGTTCGAAAGCTTCTTGTTTCAATGGCCGTTATTTTTTCAATTTTATATTCGATCAGCTTGAAAAAACTCGGCAAGCCAAACGATTTTCCAAGGCTAAGACACCGTATTTCTTCTACACTTATCTTACATTGTCCAGAGACAAGTTAGGAGCTGGAATTAAACAGATCGACAAACAGCTATCGACATTTTTAATCAACATGGCACACGAAGAAAACTCAGTGACTATTGTAACGTCAGACCATGGTCCAACCACAACAAAGTTTTCTCTGGATTCTGTTGAAGGAAGATACGAAATTTACGACCCAGTTCTCTTTATGATTATTCCTAAAGGCGTAGCCCTAAAATTGGGAAAACTTCAGATGGAAGCTTTGGTGAAAAACCAGCATCGACTTATATCTCCAAATGATCTTCACAATACTCTTGTTTCGATGGCAAATCTGGAGCAAAGGCATTTGGCGAGCCAAGCCGATCGAGGTTTGTTAGCAGAAATACCTGAAAATCGAACATGCACAGACATTGGTGTCGACGTTGGTGCCCTTTGTAAGTGCCGCGGATGGGAAACATGGTTTCCCGATAATGACCCAAGATTCGATTGGGTCGCTGAGTTTGCATTGGGGGAACTTAACAACAAACTTCAAGATTCTACGAAAACGTTGAGATCATCGAATAAAAGAAATGATAGATGCCAAAGGCTCGTAGGCTACGCTTTTGAAAAGATTTATCACAGCAAGAAATCTGCTCCATTTGTTCTTTCCCTGGACTTAATTGTGCATCCGGGAAGACAAGTGTTTGAAACTCACGTTCAACTTCCCAAGCATTTTCTGTCAGAGGCTCGTGAAACACTTTCTACGTCTCAAGCCAAGGAGGATTCGATAAAGACAATTCGCTTTCGAAGAGCCGACCACTCTCAAGGCTTTATTACCCTTACAGAGAGCAGTGTCCTTTTTGAATGCTTGAGCGACGTTCACGAATTACAGAATAATACACGAAAGAGAAGGGATTTTCTAGCTGCAGATGGGAAATACAACGAAAACATTTTAAAAATGGCACACCACTCCAAGCATTTTGGTTCTCGACCAATAATTCAAGTTCTTGACAGGCGTGACAAATGCCTACTGCTAATAACAAGGATGCATTCCAATCAAACCTTAGCCTTTGAAGCTTCAAACATTTGTATAGACAAGACCTTCGTAATGAAAGTGGACATGATCAAACGCGGCGAGGAACTCGCTTTCATAACAGTACGCCTTCCCATGATTGTTCATCTTGCACCAGGAACGTACCGGTTCTTACTAAGCGCGTATCAGCCACGCGGTGTTATAAACTGGAAACCAAAAATAGCGTTCAAAATGGTCAAGACTTGATCAAGTTAACTCTTTGACAATTTTGTTGGTGGTCAGGTTTCAGTGGAAGTTCCCACGTCATTTGAATCCCAATCGGATTGGGTTGATTTGCATTCCAACAGGGCATTTTCCTAACGACGTTCGCGATTGGAACGATCGATAATTCTGTTTGGCTCGCTCTCTCACTTAATGATAAGTTGTTCTCAATTTTTAACAAATTAAACAAAGTAGCCTTAACAATATACTGAGCGGTCTTCACTTGAATGTTGAAGGTAATCCGTATTAGCTTAGCTAGGTTTCACACTGCTAAGCTTGACCGGATTTCCTTACAAAACTCGCGGGCACCACTATCTCATCCAATCAGAAGTAAAACCAAAACCAATAGTGACTCGTTTGCACACGTTTTCCCGCGCTTTGGGCCAGTTAGATGTATTGTATGTCCTTTTTTCTTTCTTTTTTCTTTTTTTTTTTTTTTTCGGTCAGAGTGATAACTTTGGTTTTGGTTTTACGACGGTCAATTATAGAAATGGCATCTTAAAATAGACAAGAGTTAGGGCGAGCTAAGAGATATCATCGCCGAAAACGATATAATTTCACTAGTACAACTGTTGGTAACTTAAAAACAGCACCCTCGGCAATCGGTGCTTCGTTCAATTTGCTTCACTTCCCTGGTCCGAAAGGCGATGACTTTCATTCGGTTGGTTCTGTGGATAAATTTCAACAGTTTCGTAACGAAACAAGGTGTTTGTCACGTACAATGATTTGCATCAACAAGAACGATTTTGCGCTGTACACGGAAAATTTAGCTTATTAAACAGTAAATTTAGCTGGTTATATAATCACGTAAGACTCATCCGCTCCCTGTGGCCCCTCAATCTCTCTTGGCTCGTCTTGATCTTAAGGAATCTTGACGTTGAGTAACATGAAGAAGGCAGAGATCCTACTAAATGTCACCGAAAACATAACGAACGTGATGGTCGACTCACTGCCACAATGAATAGTCCATTTCCGAGTTGCCCTAAGCATCTCTATCAAAGCGAAGCCTGGTGCACAACCATTCAAATGAAAATGAGTTTAATTTGCATGTGAATTAAATCTCATATGGAAAGATGGGCACCAAGACTCGCTTTGAGACAGAGGCTAAAGGCGAATTCGGAAATGGCCAATTCACATAAAGCAAACCACGTGCATTTATAAATTATTAATTACGAGGAATGATCAACAGTTCCATTTAACTGATGGGGCAAGAACTGACTCTCCTGATGGTACCCGCTACAAACCCGTCTTTTACAATGAGAAACTAGCGAATCCTACAGTCGGGTGTTACAGGTGTAAAATTAATCAAATCATAACAACATCCATTTCAGAGTTTTGAAAAGATCCTGGCAAAGCCTTGTTTGTTTGGTTCAAACTTTCTCCTGAAGTTCTGTAGACTGTGTCAAAATAACGAAGGCAAAATGTAGTTAGCAATTTAATTCGGAGAGAAGAACGTATTGTCGGTGGGTCCAACTTACGCTCGAGATGTCTGTACTTATTTTACGGAGCAAAAAGGTAGGTGCGTCTTTGTGAGATGTTTTCAATTTGTAATTAGTTTTGGGCAATGAATCTGTTTGGCTTGGCGTGTTTGTTGCCCCATTTCAGAGCCTTGTGACATACAAAACTGAAATGACGTTAACATCTGTTGGAATTAAGCCCAATAATTGAACGCACAGCGAACAAGCGGGTGAATGCCGGAGCTGAGAATTTGCGGGTAAATCACTGCAATGATTATAATGAGAATATAATTTCACTGTGCGTCGGTCAATGAATTCACGAGTTTAAAATAAGTGCAATTAATCCAAAGTAACATGATATAATTGAAAAGTTAGTATTTTGTAAGTTTGCCTGCCGCTACAGAAGCCACCCGTCTGTCTGTTAATCTTGGTCCATAAGAAGCACAGCGACTTTATGGATCAACAGCCAAGTACGGTCTTGAAGCTTAAAATCACAAAGTTCTCGACAATTTGGGCGAGATTTCACAAGGCCATTAGCATACTCACCATCACACTGGGTAGGAATATGTCGTGGTAGAAAATGATGTTAAGAAAGACATCTTAACAATCAACTGCTACTTTCTCTCAAATCGTACTGATGATTATCGTCCATATTTTCAAATATCGTGTGTTGGTACTTCCTCTACCACGGCTCAAAACAAGTTGAATCCGGCTAAACCAAAGAATTTGTATCGACTAAGAAATTAAGCTAGTTTTTACCCCACCTATAAATAGGACGTTTGTTTTTTTGTTTTTTTTTTTGAGTCAACGATACCATCCCTAGAGGACTCCGTCCATGTGTAGTTAACACATTTTCCCGTGCTTGCTTTGTTATTGAGACCAACAGACACTTGAGACACGGCTTAGAGAATTTCTTTCCCAGGACAAAATATCACATATTTATATATACCTTTGGCCGCCTTCCGAAAACTGTAATATTCTTTCCTCGGATGAGTGTTTTAAGATCATTGACTCGGCCTCCACACACTTCTAGTTAAAGATCAATAGCAAGGGAGCCATGCGGCATCCTTTGGGAACAGCCTTCCTTAAATATATAACAAAAACATCTTAATTTATCCCTACCATAATAGCGTGCGCATATCCACGGGAATATTTATTTCCATTTATATTTGCATTCCTTTACTCTTTATGTACTGTTTAGCTACCACATTAATTGCTGCTTCTTTCCATCGCACTTTGTTAGCTCATAAGTACCATATTCAAATTTAACTTATACAAAGCAACCCACGGTGGATAGAGACACATCCGAAATATGTTT